TGCCTCGAGGATCTACAAATGAGCTTGGTGTTGCTTCAGCTGTTGTCTTACCAGTATTTCGACCATAACAACTCAGATAATCGTCGGGGGCAGGCGGCCGTGCGATTTATGGGCAAGCGGGCATTGGAAAAATAGTTCGCTGGTTTTCTGCGATCTGCTTACAGAAATTTGAAAGAAAGTTGGCCATTTTTTAGAGGATTGCTCGGAGAACAACAGCGGCTTTTTCGTAGATAGTTGTGGCGCAGAGGCCGCATACTTGCAGACTTTCCGCAAGAATATGCAAAATCATTTGAGGGCCGCACGATCCTTTGTGAAGGACCGCATAGCCCAAAGGTACTTTCCGCTAAGAAAAAGTACCCCAAACTCGGGTAATTAAGCCATCGATGACACCTCTGCCACATAGACTCTCACCTATGCTCAGCGTACGCACGAAACTGCCTAGAAAGAGTCCGAGCACTCGCTGAAGGTTTGGCCAGCGCACGCTTAAAGAAATTATTTGCCGAGCGCTCGCAGAAAATGCTATGTTGCTGCCCGCTGGCAGAATATGCGACAGTAAAGGAGTACCGCCCGCTAAAACTTTGGCCACGCCCCAATATTCTGCTGATTTCTTGCAAAAAACCGCAAGTTTGTTCCGCCTGTTCCCGGCGATTATCTGAGAATATTTTCATCTATATCGACGCTGTTTTCAAAGAATGTTTATCCATACTTTGCTTTTGCAGATATTGTTGCAGTATGATTCATAATTTTCCAAAAGAATTCTGAAGGACACCTTGAAAGCTCTGGTTACTGACATGTTAAACATGGAGCAAGCTTTGCTCGGTGTTACTCTGTAGCCTTCTGGAGCTTGTAGACTTGATACGGTGGTTGCTCTCAAGGTATGCATTAGTGCTTCGAAAATTTTTGTCCGCATCAACACTATAAACGAGTTTTCTTTCTTACGAAGACAGGCTCCATTGATCATACTCTTCCCGCCTCTTTTTTTTTTCGTTTTCGCACGCGTTGTCATAGTAGAATTTCGCTTTTGAAGTCGCGTGTGTATTTAGCACTTGGAAGTTTCAAATTTGACTTTGTCTTAGTAATCATCTCACAATTTCATTGTTTGCAGGTAGCAACATCCCGGTGGGCTGTGTGCTGATATGGCTTACCCGCTCTCATTCTCTAATATCATTATTGATTGATGAAAATTCCTTTGGCTGATTCAGCATGGGAAATATATTCTGGCAAACCATATCATTCAGCAAGGCAAAATTTTGCGGCAATGAGCTTATGTAAATTCCAACAAGATGTTGCGTTAAGGCGCTGCTTGAATAATCCGTAATTTTTCAAATTTTAGCTTTGGTAACAGCACGCTTGATTTCGTTTCCGGGTGGAAATTTGCTGGTAGGCTAGTTGGTTTCAGTGCATCCCACACAGTACTCTTTCGTTCATGCCATATTTCAGGGATGAGAAAATTGTCGCTGATCGAACCTGCGGAATTACCCTCAGAATTGTAGATGAAACAATGCTAAAATATTTTTGCATATCATTTCTGTTGTTGAAATTCTGTAATAAATGTATGCCGCCTACAACTGTGTACACTTCTCTATTCAATATGTAGCGAAGTAGAGATACATATGGGAAATAACGCGCTCCAGCTCGTCCGGATATTAGGTTTGACGCGCTTTGGCTGCCGCATATCTCTTACAAGGTAATTTTCGCGCTAAAGCATTGTCTCGCGCAGCATTGTCCCTACACATAATGCTGTCGCGAGATTTTGTTGCGAAACCGATGCTTGTGTCGCGCCGTCATTCCACGCTTAGACAAAACTTTGGGCTGCGCGAGTCAAGAGCGAATGTCTGAGAGCTCTGAGAGCTTAGGAGAACGATGCGTCATTACCGTGAATGATCTTAGGAGACAACACGCAATGAAATATAGATGCAATGTGAGTGTGCTATTTCTAGCATTGAACATACATCACTTATCAATTATCTTTCATAGATTACTAAGGAGACCATCATGCTTGGGGTTGTACTAAAAAATTTCCAGTAATAGCGAAAAGCAGAACAGTAGCAACTATTTATTGTAATTTCTTCAAATGAAGTTTTACGGACTTTGTGCATTAGTACTGTTCTCTGTACACCTTAGGCCGCGGGCATACCTCACGCATACCCTCAGTATTGCCAAATCGCGTCGCGAACAATTGTGTGGGATAGGCCCAGGGCCTTAGCCATGCAGAAGAAAGAAGGTTCGATTACGCACGTTTGAAGGGGATGTCTCATTTTGAATCTTAGGCCTTCTCGACTCTGTATAACCCCACAAGGTTGAACTTGCATAAAATCTCCGGAAAACCCTCTCTAAGGTCCTGCAGAAGCAACGCAGACGAGTAGTGATTTTTTATGTTGCGCCAAAGTGGCAGACGTTGGGAAATGTGCACTGAGTGAAGAGCACTCACTGCCTGCCATTTTGAGGCAATTATTTTGGCATAGAAAATCCAGATCGCGTTGGTTTGAGTAGTGGCCCACTCAGGGGTCTCCTAACAAACCAGTGGATACGCACATTTCAACTTTAGCAAGGCACTGTGTTTATGGTAGATGTGCATAGGTGACATGGTTTCCGCACCTTTGGGTGCTTCGTGACAACAGTGTGCACGCAAAAATACATACGATCCGTTTGGGATATCGTGAGGCGGAAATCTCAGCCAAAACGGTTCCTAATTCTCAGTCAAACTCCTTCAAACGCTAAGTGTTTTTCTACCTTCGTGATCTAGAAAGTAAACAATACTCGTTATCTGTAATCACTGTGAGATGGATGAAATCATCGGTCACGTTAGTCAGTGCTAATTGTCATGTACTGCAAGGCCATTCATTCCAAGATATTGCAAAACTATCCTATAACTACTCCATTGCTACCAAATATGTATCGGAGGTGGAAATGTGAAAACTACCTCCTGAACACGGAGATCAGATATGGATTGAAGGCATGAAGAAACAGGAACGCCACGCTTTGAGTGCTGAGATTTCAAAGATGTAATTGTAATTTTACAGTCGCAAGTGGTACTTATTATAGTTAGAACCGAATATTCGTATTCGAATAATTTATTCGAAATATTCGGCTATTCGAATATTCGAATAGTCGAATATTCGAATAGTCGAATGTTCGAGAAAAGTCCAATTATTCAATTATTCGAATAGTCGAATAAATGAAAAAGGCCTGTATTCGAATGATTCGTTCATTCGACGATTTGAAAAACGAGTTATTCGAATATTCGTTCACTCGAGGAGTTTTGAATTATTCGAATATTGAATATCATTCATTCGAATATTCGATGACAAAGAAAACTTTGGCTGTTCTACATTGAGTGCAAGTATGTTCCTGTTCGGTCAAACATACAAATGATCATATGACAGAATAGGCAATCGCGAGTAATGCCAGAGAATAGTGACGACAAGTCTTATGCATACGCAAATACCTCCAAGCTCAAATTTGGGTAAAGAAGCAATGCCGTCATTAGGCGCCACTTTAGCGGACTACTCGTCCTCAAACAGCTTGCATAAGCATGTGAGGGACCAGCAGTCCTTTGAGGCAGCACGAGTTGGGAACATTCATTCCTTTATACAGAGATCTCCACTTACCTTGCTAGCCTAACCCCCGCTTGTCAAAATACCCGAAAAATGCGTCAAGGCGGTCGCGAGAACCTGAGCCGCTTGACTGGTGGCGACAGCCTGTATGTCAGTCACCATACTCACAAGAAAATGGTCAGAAGTGAAATGACCAAACCAAACACGCTGTATACGATTTGATGCAGCATAAAACGCTGACTTCAAATCTTCTTTCTTATCTGCTTACCCTTTTGTGGACGAAGCTACAAGCAGTTTTTGCGGAAAATCGTACATAAAATTGCAAAATTGAGCACATTGTTGTACTTTCAGCCCACCTTTAGGCTTTAACGATTTGAATTACCCTGATTGCATGGTCCCATTGAGCCGAACATGGCTTCGTATGGCCAAACTTTCACTTTCACACATAATTTTCTAGTAAAATAGTGGCCTTTAATGGCTTATAGCTTCGCCCAGAAAAGCGACAAGCAGTTAAAGAAGACAATTTGGAGTCACTTTATGCTGCATCTAACGGCTTGCAGCCTGTTCGGATTGACCACTTCGACTGACCATTCCTTTGTCAGATCAGCGCCCTTATAGTCAGGAGGCGTAAAAAACTAGAGTTAAAATGTTGCAGAGTTTATGGAGGAATAATTGTTTGAGTAGGCGTGTAGGTTAAATTATTATTAATATTATACTGGTATTTATTATATTTATATTAATATTTATTTTGAACCTAAGTAAAAGATGTGGAGGATGCCTTGCAACAAAAGTGCAAACCTCAATACAGCTAAAGCAACTTTGTAAAAATTCAATCCTACAACAGAAACTGTGAAACCCAGCGAATGATAATTTCCCACAAGTATTGGATTAACAACTAATATTTGTTACTTTGTTTATTTGTATTATACACTCAGGGTGCACCGGAAAAAAATAAAAGGCAAGCGAACATAACATCAGCTCATCCTAGTCAGCGACAGATACAGAGAGCTGAGGGTTTAAGTACTTGAAGCGCCAGTGGATAGCATAAGCAATCTGGTATAAGTGCACGCGAACGAAGTATTGGCCAGAAATGAAAATGACAATGCGTCAGTAACTGGCCTATGAATCTAGAACCCTGCCGCCTACAAAAAGAACAAGGTACCCAAATGTGAGTGCCAGCGGGCTTACGGGCGGAAACTAAAACGGAACCCCTTTAAAGTAGAAGAATATTTTTGTAGGAACAACAGGATTTACTGATATGTGCGCAGCGAGAAAGCAAGAATTTAAATAAGAGTGAATCCATATAGGAAAATAGTAGCTTCAACGCTCTGAAGCGACTTAAGATATGATACAAGAGCCACTTTTGAAAACACTATCTCGGCTTCCCTTTTCCTTTGTGAGAAACAACTGCTGAGAACGCATCTGGACGGACTCGACAAATCACCAGCAATAGTTCATTGTGCACAAAGCTTTACATACGGATAACTAGTCTTTCATTTATACAGAGGAAAACAGCTACTCGTCATCGTCATCCAAGCCAATCTTGATTGCTTTGAAACCCGACGGCATTGCAAATTCCATGATCTTCTCATCGTCCACATCCAATGCAACTTTGATTCGATATTCACCCTGAAAATGTCAAAAAAACCTTTAAAATAAAATTGAGAGAGCATGTAGAGAGTTTCACGAACAACTTATATGTGATGAGTTTTCGATTCTCAATTTTAATTCAATTTAATTTTAGTTTTTGAGTTTTGCTTTACTGTCATTAGTAGCAACTAGAACACAGCTCATATAACAAGCCATTTTCACCATGTTATCCCGGTTTTCTATAAGAGATTGGTCACCTTGATAGAGAAAAATAGCATAGACAAAATCAAAATGAAATAATATCTCAAGCTTTTCCTTGATCATGACAACCGGTAGTTATGCGTTTATATTAAAGGCGGTGTCCGGGCAAAAAGTCGATTTTGAGATTTTGCTTACCCGGGCCTATTCGCTATGGTGAATCGATAACTCACACGCGAGAGCGCGAAAACGGCGAAAAAGGGCCCTAATCTAGGAAGGAAATCAAAAGTGGGCGGAGTCCTCCGAAGTGTGAATTCACGGTCCCGGCTTCTCAACTCCACTAGCCCTCCTGACATCTCCACAAGCCAAGTGCGAATGCTTGAGTTAAAATAGGAACCGCGAAGATCGCTCCGGGAGCTGGGACCGTGAATTCACAGTGGGTAAGACCCCGCCCACTTCTGATTTCCCTCCTACGTTAGAGCCCTTTTTCGACGTTTCCGCGCTCTCCAGTGTGGATTTTCGGATTTAGCATAGCGAATAGGCGCGGGTAAGCACAAAATCTCAAAATCGACTTTTGCCCGGACACTGCCTTTAAGTTGTAACATAAGCCTTGTTACACTTTAATTTTTACGGCGTTAAGTCATGCAGTTCAGACTCTTGATACGGCTCCAGGATACCATTCAATAGAGCAAAGCAAGCTCTACAAGATATGCAAAATTTCCAGCTTTCACTGACCATAAGTTTGCATCCAGAATCTAAGTCGTACTAAAGGCTCAAAAATAGGAGAAAATTCATATAGTCGTTCAAAAAAATTCTACGGATCTCCACCTTGCTTACACAAATTGCACAACACATCAGGCACCCATATATACCATTCCTGTATTTTTAGTCATCTAGAAACTGAGAAAACTAAAATTACTATGTTGATACAAAAAGGGAGCCACGCCGTTCCGTGTAAGTATAGTACAAGCCATTAGAAGTAATCGTAAATTTTCAGCTTTCCACAAGCCCTGGCTTTCGAGGAGTATTGATTTTAGCATGGGGCACACGAGTGAGAAGAGCTAAATTCGGTAGCTTCGAAAGTTCGAAAACTAAGGGCTATGGAAATGGAAAATTTACAGTCATACTTCCAAGGGCTTGTAGTATGCAATTACATTGGTGCAAGCAGCACAGCTTTGTTTTTATTAAACATGAAGATTTCTGTTTTCTTGATTTCTAGATAAGGAAAATACAGGGACGGTATGTATGAGTACCTGATGTGGTGTACAATTTGTGTGAGTAAGTTGGAGGACCGTAGGATTTTTTCGGAACGAAGATATGAATTTCCCTATTTTTGAAGCCTCTAGTAAGACTCAGATTCTGAATGCAAACTTATGGTGAGTGGTAGCTAGTGGGAACTTTTGCAAACCGTCTTGTATAGCTTGCTTTTCTCCATCAAATGGTACCCTGGAGCCATACTAACCCATTGACGACGATGTGGACCACCGGTGGCCCACACCTCTTGCAAAGTCATATTATTTGTAGGTCTAGTATTTTTTCACATGTCAATAATTCTTCCGTTTTTTTTTTGCTAGGGCCTCTAGACTTCATGGTTTAAGAAAATGTTTATGATTGTTTACGAAACAACATTACATTTCTCAAAACCATAATACCTTCCCCCACCGAAATTCTGCAAATCGCGTCTTCCCACAGCCCTTCACGCAAAATTAGGCGTCGTCGCCAATGGGTTAAGAATATGATTTATACGAATTATCGTCATAAGAAATCAAATTTAACAACTTATATTACAACCTAAACTTTCACATACCTTCAGTAAATCCAGTAAAGTTATTCCAAGAAATGATGGAGACGGGGGCAGTTGGAAAGTGGAGTTGAATTTCAGCTTCTCTTCAAGTTCTAAAATTTTCATGTCTACAAACAAAAATTAAATACGGCTCCTGCAATGCAGCGATCTTGCGTCTACAGGCTTGAATATCTACTTGAAGAAAAAAATACCTTTCAATGTGTGAAGGCCCTTCTTTTGCAATAAATGACAGATATTTTCAGGGATCACCGTCGCAATGTCGAAGTGGCTGAATGCTACATTGAGCCAATACTATCAGCATTGAAATTGTTACTGTAGTATTACGGCAGAAAGGACAGAGAAGGTTCTGAGAAGGTTTTGTGCGGTTGGGAACTAAATTTTTCTTCACAAATGACCAAACGGCTCAGTACCACTTTCAGCAAAATGTGGCTCTAAACTTTCGAAAGCTGATAGGAGCTGCTGACTTTGAATATGAATTTTCGCACTTCACCGTAGTGAGTCGATACCTGACATACGCCAGGATAACTGTTCTCATTCTCTGAAATTTTAATTAGACCATTCAAGAGCTTTACAAAGCTTGAAAAGTTGATTAAGTAAGTAAAGAAAAACTGGTAAAACTAAATGATGTGATTTTTTCTTCAAATGTGTTCCAGACATGCACATCAGTTCTGACAACTCAAACACTCTGCGCGGAGACCTGCGGGCCTGAAAGGCCTGTCAGGCTCGTCCGCGGAATTGTGGGGTTGTGGCCGGGGTGCCGCCAATCCGTGGCCCTTGGTTCATGTCATTATCTTGCATCGGTCGACTGACGGGAGAAAAACGGCTTACCTGCTCAGGCGCGCACCTTATTGATAATGGCATTGCAGCAGCTTAACTATTACATTTTCGAAAACAGTACTACTTTATGTTGCAAGCAAGTTTCATTGCTGGAAAAGGGTTTTGGTGCGTGATTGCTCAAACCGGGGTTAAGCGTGGGGTCAGGCGTGCCCGACCTGGGACTAGTATTGGGGTCAAGACTGAGGGAGGAGGTCGTAATCAAAAACCAAGTTTGTTAAAGAAAAAGGTAATAAAAGCGCTAAACTCATGAATATCACAATTCTATTAAGAAGGAATGACTGTCGTGAACAGCATACTAATTAGCACCCCTAGCGAAGTCTCAGCCAAATTTCAATCCTTCATCTCTTATCTACGCATATCGCAAGGTCACCAAAGAAGCTTTCTGTGTAAATTGGGATATAAGTTCCGTAATCGGCACATGCCAAACTCCTCTACGAGTCCTAAAGATCACTACCTATTACATTTTCTAGTGTTTCCCAATGTCTCAAAAGCGTGATTCTTCAAGCATGACTAACTTGCCACAAAAGTAAATAAAATCAAATTTTTTGTACTTATGATGAAGTAATATTCTCTTTCAGCTATGTTGGACGCTCTCGAATAGTGGATTGCGAAGTGCTGCCAAAAATTGAATCCACGCGTTTTCCAACTTGAGCGCCTCAACTCCACTGCTCTCCCCCCCCTTTTCTCCTGCATGAACCTAACCTCAGAGAGTCCCTATCGAGTGGCCGCATTTTCTTCACCGCGGATGAAAATGTGCTTTACTTTCATTGTTTACAACAAGATGTGCAATAGATTTGATAGCGGTTGATAAAGTTTCATATTCATTCCTAGATGCCAAAACTCAATACATCGGTAGAGGGGTCTAGCGAATCGCCTTAAAGGCAGCGGGCAACTCAATTATAGAAAATCTACTGAGGTTATCCGGAATGCTGAATCTGAAGATCTACATTAAAAGGCGCGAAAACGGCGAGAACATGCGTTTTTTACACCTTACAACTTGAATTTCGATGGTTCTCGCCAAGGCTGAGACGCAGAGTCGCTGCTGAACCCTACGATTTTGAATGTGGCGGCATGCGCACTCTGCCGCTCAGCAGGAATTCAAACAGGTCGAGGGACCCGCCCCAAGGCGTAAGTTTTCCCCACTTCCCGATCGTTTTTCTTGTTTTCCAACGTTTAACCTTGTAGTTGGGCAGTGCCGTGTCTGAGGGTGGTCACTTTCGCATGGCACATCCCTACCCTTTAAAAAAGACTTTTGAGTTTTATTTATATGAAGATTAGGACCCTGACGTCAAATGATGAATGATGTGGAAGTAGGCCTCAGAGAACTGCGAAACGGCTCGAAATTGTACATAGAAAAAAATCGGTTTCCAACGTTTCTCGTGCTACACATGGTGTAACACGCCATTTTGCCGCGCGCAATTGCGAGGTCCAAAACGTGTTAAAGCCAGCTCTACAATAGGGTAGCTTGAGTTCTCCGAAGGCATCCAACGAGATTTTAGGAATTAAATAATGCATCTACACTTTTCGGAACGTTCTATGCTGGTTATTGATATACATGACGGTAATGCTTTGTACCCAAAACTATATAAACTATAAGACAAATTATATAATATATCTAATATGGACATTATTAAGACTGCAGGAAAGTCACAGGTAAGTACTCCACAATTTATCTTTACATTCTTACAGCAGTATTACTTAAAAAAGCTCACTAAAGTAACTAAACAAAACTTTATAAATTTACAAAAATAACAGATAAGTATAAGTAAGTACATGTTCTGGGTCTTTCTACCTTACTGAGGAGTTCCGGGAAAAGACTTACAAGGGAAGGATGATCGGTCGAAGTGGCCATTTGGAATGAGCTGTATATCAGGAAACCGTCCTCGGTAAGGCAAATTCAAAACTACCTTCGCTAGTTGCCGAGCGGTTTTGTGGGGGGGGGGGGAGTTACAAGGCCATTTTTCTCCAGCGCAGCCGGCGTACCCACTCAGGGATTCGCGCCGTGCGGGCGATCCTCATTAAAGCTCCTCCGCCTGAGCGCACTGCATAGTTTTTGATGTACCGTGCGTGCGGTCAACAATAAAAATGCCGTGCAAGCGGAAGACAGTCTTCCCGTTTGATCGGCCGCAATAAAATCGACCGTGCAAGCGGCAGGCAATGTGTCCGTCCGATCGGGCGGCAAACATTTGACCGTGCAAGCGGCAGGCAATCTCGCCGCGCAATCGGTACGCAATACAATTGCTCGAGCGTGCGGCCAGCAATGCGTCCGTCTTATCGGTCGGCAATACATGTTGCCGTGCAAGCGGTCAACAGTGACCTCTATTTTCTGCTCATATTTTCACACATTGTGAGCGTAAACGGTACCTGTGTGAGATACGACACAGTGTTTAGGCTGGCCAAGCGTTGACACATCTTGTTATCAACATTTTCTTCTACCAGCAAGGCTGGAATGAACCTGTGTGAGGCTACAGTTATCAAGAGTGATGGTGAGGGCTTCCCCATGAAAAGTTTGGCAATGCTGCGAGCATCGATCCGTGTTCCCAAAATGTGCAAAGGATTGATCTATCCAAGAAAAATGGTCAAGATATCGCGAATACATCTACTCCAAGAGCAAGCGAGCGGCCGACTTTCTCCGCGCAAACGGCGAACATTAGAGACCGTGCGAGCGCTCCACGTTAACCGTGCCAACGGCCCTTGACGACCGTACAATCGCACACATCAACGAGCGATTGTAAGGTCGTCGCTGGCCGCCCGCAGGGCGCGAGTCCCTGAGCAGTAATGAGCGAGCGCTAAAACAACCCAGCAGTGTGACGGTGGCGCAGTGGCAAGACAGCGGACTACGGGCTGTTTCAGACTGCCGCACTGACCGCAGCTGACTGCAGCAGACTGCAGCAGACCGCAGCTGACTGCAGCAGACTGCAGACCGCACTGAACGCAAGGGCCGCAGAAATCGCTACGCTTTCGTAAGGAGAAGATAGATATTTGTAGACCAAATAATCAACAACAATATACGCCTAGACATAAAAGACAACACGAGCGAGAGTAAAACAGGATACGCATTAACAGGAAGAATCAGAACAAATATGAGCATACCAAAAAAAGCAATCGCCAAAATTTGATTGAGAAGAGTAAGTTGAAGCCTATGAAATTCCTAGGCGCAAATAACGGTGTTTTGACTTGAACGCAATTGTTTTCTCTTTTACGAAACGAGCAGCGATCTGTGCGACCTTGCGGTCAGTGCGATCAGCTGCAGACTGCTGCAGTCTGCTGCAGTCTGCTGCGGTCAGTGCACTCAGCTGCAGTCTGCTGCAGTCAGTGCGGCAGTATGAAACAACCCTAAGAAGCAGGTGGTCGAGGGTTCGAGTCCTGTTGCTGCTAGTTTTGCAGTTCTGTAAAAAGTCTATTGGGTGACAGTAAACGAAAAATACCATTTTTATGCAGTTTGAAACAAGCTATTTACTGCAAAAAAGCTACTGTTTCTACAATAAGCGGTTCCCTAATATACAGCTCATTCCAAATGGCCACTTCGACCGATCATCCTTCCCTTGTTAGAACTCATTTTAAACTCCGTTCAAGGGAATGAAAGAAAAAGAGTGATGGCATTTCACAACATACTCTGAAATATCTTCAATTTTGGCTATGATTACACTTTTGAAGAGTTATCACTTCAATTTGATTTCTAATTTATTGGAATGCAAATGCTTTTGAGAGATTTTATGCGATCAACAGCGTAACAGGTTGGCTAGCTTGGTGCACTATCTGTAACATTATAGACATGGTTAGGAGAATGTCAATTTATGTAGTTAACCATCCTCCAGCCAGTAGAGCTAAGAAAAAAAAGTAATGGTTGGTTTAACTCGAACACCGTAACCTTTATTACTACTAGTGAAGGAGAGTAGGAGACTGTATGTCGCCGAAAGTGGGAGGTACCGCCGGACATCTGCAACAGATACGCGCATTCCAGTACATGCACAGGCTGAGTATCCTGCATTGTCGGGACCCTCCCACTTTCGACGACATATACTCCTCTCCCAAAAAAAAAACGATAAAACTCATAGCAGATGAAGGTGAAACAGAGGTGTGAAGTGTAATCAACAAAAATATACCTCACCAAAATCTGGCTGGCACAATGAGCATGCCACTTTTACCATTGTCACAGATGTCCGTGCTGCCAAATTTCACTGTGGCGCGAACGACATTGGAAGCGAAGAGATCATAGTTCTTGGGCACCTCAACTTCACCTGAACACAGCTCTTTTACATTTTTCCGAGGGCAAATTACGATTTCGAAGCGTTGAGAAAGTTTTTTGTGGAGCTTTAAGTCTCACCTGAGATGATATGAAAATAACCGGGTAAAACCACGTTGACTTTGTTCTTGTGACAGGATGGCTGTCCATCAATGTCGTAGACGAGTATTTTTACATTACGAACTTTCACAGGTAAATTTTCTGAAAATAAATAATTCGAGTGGAGAGCATTAGACAAGAAGCTACCTTTGGAAGCAAGGATCAACCTACTGTTGCCGTATGAATCTGCAGACAATATATTGTCGACACCGTCTATACATTCTGATGCTATACAATAGAATATATTGAGAAGGACAACTGCTTCTCGTATTTGCATATCCTGAGATGAAAAAGAAACTTGAAGTAATGAGGGATAGATTTGCTGGAGCAGAAGATCTGAAAGTAAGCGCAGCTCTCAGAGCCTCCTCTACAGCAATTACACATTTGTTTGCTTGAACCTGCACACTTACGCAAAGGATAGCGTAGAAAAAGGGTGAAGTCTGCAAAGCTAGAATGTCTTGGACATGCAAAAAAATATTGCACAATCTGGAATTCTGAAAGAAGGGGGGGGGCAGCAAAAGCTGCCCCAAAAAAATCTAATTCTGTAAGTCGCAGGTCCAATCGAGTCATTTTTGTGGAAATTCCACCATAACTCTCAAAAAATACAGTTCTATCAAGTTTGATAGAGTATAGAGTACAATTCTTAATAGCAAAAATGAAAGTAAAGATGAGTGGTGTCTGCGCAGCAAGCAGAAATGACGCTATTGAATCCAAAACTGTTATTGTTACAGTAAAGCAGGTTTTTCGTCTCATAGATACGGCACTAATAGTTTTTTGGACGCTAAAATATCGACAAGCTTTTGCTCTGTTTCTTTCTTCGCAAAAGATTGCAGTAATTTTTCGCAATTTCTTATAATCCTGATATCTGCTTCACGTAGTTTCACTAATAATAATCATTATCACACTAATAATAAGCAGAAAAGTTTTTATTTAGAGTGTGTAAATAACCAAAAAGTTCCGCTTCGTTGCTGCCCTTAGACGGGGTAGAAGTATTACAGACCTTCCCCGGAACTCCTCAGTGAGTAAGGAAGGTCTGTAAAACTTATTTTTAATACTGAGAGGGCAGTTTGTTTAGGAGTAATAAGTATATATATATATATGAATTTTTTGAAAAGAAGGTTCGTGGAAATTGAGTAAGTAAGAAGCAGTCAATCAGAATCAGCTAAATATAGCTAAATAGAATTTTTCATTTTTTTTCACCTTCCGCAAGCAAATAATAAACCAATGCACAATGTAATGCCTTGACTTCAGCTTCCACCAATTACTTGCGTCGAAAATTTGCAACTATCTGTAGCTTACCGATAGATATGACTGTATCTTTTTGTTAAAATGTTCATACAATTTGAATCTATTTTCCATATTTAGCCCTAATAGATTCAACAAGATCGCGTTCTCGCACAGCTTGAAATTATAAAATCTGATGTGCTTTTGTACAGGACTGACACAATGAATGTTTTATTTCTTACGCAATAGTAATACAGATCAAATTGCAACAAGCACTGAGATACAGTTTCGACTAAAATAATCACAGTTACAAGGCATTATATACAAACAATCAAATAATCAGTCATCGTCTCGTAGACCCATCTTTAGCGCGGTGAATCCAGTAGGCATTGCGAATTCCATAATCTTTTCTTTATTGACATCAAGTGCCATTTTTATGTAGTATTCGCCCTAAAAATATCTATGAAATAAAATTTGCCACAAAACTACTGACAAGATCATTTTACAAATTACAAGCAACAAAACTCGCTCACTCTCAAAAGGTCCAATAAAGTTATTCCTAGAAATGAGGGCGACGGTGGTAGTTCAAGCGTAGAGTTGAAGTTTAGTTTTTCTTGCAGTTCTGGAATGGATGATAGATTTTTTTTAGATATTAAGAGTGTTACTGTGAGATAGAAATTGGTATAAGGTAACTTATGGTATTTCAAAAAAATCTGTTCTCCGAAGGGAATTAAACTCCAAAAATTTTAAGTCTTTAACTGCCGTAAATCCAAGATCGCACCCTGCGATCAACTAAAAATCGCTTGCTTTTTTCTAGCAAGTTCAAGCAAGAAACAGCGCGAAAATTCACAAACTTCTGCAAAACGTAATTCATAAACATTCTATTTGTGGTTTCCCATGTTTCATTCTACATGTGTTTTGATTTTTTTGACTTATTTAGATAAATTAGTACTGATCACATTGATGTGAGACAGAAGCGTCCATCCAACTAGAGAGATGACAATTTACGAGGTGTTTCAAAAATATATTTTCACTTATTATTGCACTTCAAATTGTCAAAAAGGGGCTCTATATTCGATATGAAGTTCCTTACCAGTTAGTGTGTGAAGTCCCTTCTTTTGTAAAATCCGGCATATATCTTCAGGTATCACTGTGGAGATGTTGAAATGACTAAATATTAGGTTTTGTGCGTGAAGATATCATGCACTATGCAAACAAGAAATTTATAAGCTTTCCCAAATCAAAAACAGATGCAGCTGTTAACATAATCAAAATCAATAACAGCCATGAAAGACACAGAACTTTGAAAAGCTATTCTAGTAACTCAGCGTTTCAAAATCTCATAAGTAATTGTTATTATTCGATCACTTTGATTTTAGCTTGTTTTTTGCAATTTTTTTATTATGACTTAAATAAGTTGATACATGGTATTATGCTCACCATAACCAGCTTGGCACTATAATCATGCCACTTTTGCCCTCATTGCAGAGCATTCTGTTGCCAAGCTTAATCGTAGCTCGAACGAGATTTGACGGCAGCAAATCATAATCTTTAGGAACCTCTACTTCTCCTGAATATAACAATATACTAACTTAACCTTCACCTTGAAAGATCAACCCACCTGAAACTATGTGAAAGTATCCGGGCAAAACAACATTGACCTTCCCACGGTGACAGGAAGGCTTATAATGAATGTCATATACTAGAATTGTTATGTTACGCACACGAACGGGGAGTTTCTCTGAAAAATTGTGGTCCAAAAACTACAGAGTGAGGCGCTATGAATTTTTGAGATCTGTACTGAAATAACTTACGGTCGCCGTACGAATCCACTGTAATCACATTATTTACACCATCTACGCACTGTGTTTTAGCATTGTTAATCAAACTAACAATGAGCAAAACGACGGCGTCCCATGTGTGCATTCCTATGATTGATTGTATAAATGGTAACAGCACAGTAATGAAAGAAATTGAGGAACTTCTACAGGAACGAACACTCCACGAGTCAAAGTGATACTAATGATTTCAAATACAGAATTTGCCTGATAGTTGCACTTTTGCGGCTCATGATGAGAAAGTTTTTTACAAACTTTTTCAAAACTGGAGCTATGCATGATAATGGTTGAATGACTGGATAAATGATTTCACAAAGTATTTCTTTCAAAAATGTTGGCATACGGACCATCACATTTAAACTAACCGAAATAACGCTACAAAATGTCTTTAGTGCGATGACCTATTGAATTCACTCCTTTTTTTACTTGAAATCAAAATTGGATATTCTTTCTCTATAATTAAAATGTCGAGGCATTTGCATACATCCAGAGCATCTCACGAGAACAGGTTTATAATTTAAACTGCCACATATCGTACTTGTGTGGTGAATTATGATTGAAAATGATACATGTTCTCACATTTCACTGACTAGTCATTTGTAACTTAATATGTGAACTTCACACTTGCACGGCATTTCACGACACTCTTCTGGTAACAACTCAGTGAAACATTTTCTAACGTAACAAACTGTAGGTATGCGTACCATTAATCAATTCATAGCCAGTCAACCAGAAGTCACAAGAAAATAAGGAGAAATTATTGGAAATGGGTTTCAAATCCACAAGACCCCAAATGACTCTCATGGTGTGCAATACGTATATTTACAAAACACTCGGGCATACATCTTTGCAATTCGATCACTATAGCTCCTGAAATCTATGCAGCTCACTATCTACTTTATCTACTTTGCATAAACCTAATTAAGAGAAATTGAATCAAATTAAAAGAGAGTCTTTTTTGTTGAATCGGCAGGGAAAATGTATAATTCAGATTTGATAGTCAAGATGCATAGCCAATCATTTGATGCCCATAACCATGAGATTTACTTATTCATTTAATTAAGATTCAAAATATTGTAAATGGCAGGAACGTCAGCTTTTTGACATATCTGGCCTCGAAATTACAGTACGGGGTCATACCGCATTGAAAGTGTCGTAACCGAACGTTAGGTGATAGGAAGAAACTCTTTTCCAACATTTACCTCAAATCAAAAAATATTGCAATGATGTAGAAGTAACCATGATCTAAGTTTTTGTAAATAGTACACATACACATTCGTTTGTTTCGAGAGAAGAATGACTAAAACACTTTGAAAAAAAAAAGGTTTGTCTGAGACTTGCATTTCAGCCCAAATTCTGAGAAACTTGATCTCCAATGTCATCAAGTCACACCGAACAAAAAATTACAAGTTTAGTACAAAAATAGTATTAGATTGGTCCGAAAGTTCTGTCCCTCCGTTTTCAAAAAATCATAACTTCTCTATAACACGATGATTTTGCATGGCTGAAACCATATTGAAAAGAGCAATTCATGCACTTTCTAAAACTACCTTGGCTGCTATCTACTGACAAGGGAACCGTGTCGAGTCGAAGTGGCCTTTCTAGATGAGACCCACACTGCTTTGAAGAGCATTAATCGGTGATTCCAAATCTGCTTTCCAAATCTGCCAAGCGCCTCTGGACGCCGAGTTATAACCGTTCTTCGGAACGAAAAATGAATGCAAAATTTAGGCAAAATCGATTGTTACAATCTTTAAAGCGCTCAAATAAAGCAATGTTAGGCATTAGCATATTAAATAAATTGTATCCACTGCATAAACAACTCTGATACTTGACACTGGACCATTTGAGCAAATTTGGGCGATTTTGCTTCAGTTTTGCGTTCAATTTTTTGACCTGAAAAACGACCATAACTCGGCGTCCAGAGGCGCTTGGCAGATTTGGAAAGCAGATTTGGAATCACCGATTAATGCTCTTCAAAGCAGTATGGGTCTCATCTGGAAAGGCCACTTCGACTCGACACGGTTCCCTTGTAAGCGCTGATTGCAGAGATAAAATTGGGAGAAGGAAATTGCTTCAAGTTCGGAATTTTTGAGCAAGCCTGTTAAAAATCCAAAACCTTAAAATCCAAAATAGCCACTCTCCTAGACTTTTTGATTCCCTCTTTCCAGCTGATCAAAGTTCCTGCTGATCGAGCTATTACTTAAAAAGTTATGATTTTTTTAAATAAATGTCTAAAATCAATTTTCTTAAGAGACTGATTTTTTGGCATTTTTTCTTAAAAATAATAACTTTTCCAGGAAAAGCTCCATCAGCGCGAATTCTGCTTGTATAGAAAGAGGGGATCAGAAAACCTAGGTCACTGGCTGTTTTGGATTTTATGGCACAGTTTTGCATTTTTTAACAGGCTTGCTCAAAAATTCCGAACTTGAAGTGATTTCATTTTCCCAATTTTATCTCTGCAATCAGAGCTTGCTAGATAGCAGCCAAGATAGTTTTAGATAGTGCATGAATTGCTCTTTTCAATGTGGTTTTAGCCATGCAAAAACATGTGTTAGGAAGAAGTTATGATCTTTTGAAAATAGAGGGACAGAACTTTCGGACCAACCTAATATAAGCATTCTGAATAATAATTTTTACACTGTAAATTTTTATGTAAGTTCCATAGTTTATGAGCAGATTTGCATGTATTAGCGATCGTCAATTAAAAATACAAAGAAATTATTCAACAGAGAAATTTAAGCATTATAACGGTCATTGTCACAACAGAACTGGTTCTACACATCATCGACGTAAAAACGCACTGACTTTCACCTATCAACGACCAAGTATCATAGGCATTCACTACTCTAGTGGAATACTTATATCATAACTTATAATAACGGGCTAAGGATGTTTACGTGTTTTTGTGTGTGTGTGTGTGTATGTCTGTGTGTCTGTCTGTAACGAAATTCGTAGAGCGTGTTCCAGCCAACGTCCTAAGCCCAAATTTTGCACATCGCATGCGACCAACATAAGAGCATACCGTGCAAAAGCACGAGCGATTTTGTTGGGTGGATCCCACAGAAAATGCGCGTCAAACGGAACCGCTTGGGTTCTGGCCGGCAAAATTGGTTCCGTATCACCACCTTTTGCAAAGTCGCGGATGTGTTTGGCATGCTGATGTGCAAGCCATGAACTTTAGTCCAAAAAAGTGGACAAAAGTTTACTACTTTACGAGAACGACGCCAGATGAAATGGTTGCGTAAATGGTTAATTTGCCACAGTTTTACCTAAGCATTTGAGAAAAATTTTGCACAGAGATGTAGCTCACGTTGCCTACTGTCCTTATGGCAGCTACCAAACCAGAAAGAGTCCAAAAACCTACTCAAATTTGTATTTGTTCTTCTGCGAAAAGTTTCATCCACGCGAAATCACCAATCTCACATGAAAAAGCATTTGGAATGGGTAGTTGTTTACATTTTACTCGCGATAATCGGCACCGCGCGGTGAGTTTCATTACCATCATTAGTCAAGAATGAGTAAGGCATATGAAGTAGGACCAGTGCGAGCCTCTGCGAAGCAGAGGTGACGCACTGGTATTATTATAATGCGCAAAAGCAATTTATTCTGACAATCTAGAAATCAAATTTTGCGCTCGTTACAAATATCGTAAATATTCTCAAGCTTTTCCACTACAGAGAAAGTTATGCAATTTCACATTTCTAACTGCGTGGAGATGTCTTGGATGCACACGCTTAAGATAAGAATCCCCTAATCCTTGCCAGGTTGGATCTATCTTAAAGCCTAATCTTCTTCTGAGCGTTTTTGAAAGCATCGAGACCAGCATCCTAGTTGTGTAGGTTGTACAAACACTACTATTCTGATATTTTTTCCAATATTAGATTGTCCCAAAAGTAAACTCCATTTCTAAATAAATCAAGCTATTTTTGTTTGCCTAGCACAGGGTCTAATTTGATAGAGCAAAGCAAGTTTTACAAAATGACTACCAAAGATCCGTCTGTTCATAATCCAGGTAAAGCTTGGAGCCAAAATAAAAAAAATATTACTCGAAAATTATTTTTTTGAAGGAAAATCTTACGGACCTCCAATTTGGTCATTATACAACACATTGTAACACTCCAAAATGCCTTTATTGGATTTTATTTTCGCCCATAAAACGCGAGAAAAAAGATAGTTCAAAAATAACAAGGCTGTCCCAGCCCCTCCCATATATGTAATCGTTACTACAAGCCTTAGCAAGTATAACCTCGAAATTTTATTTCTTTATATGCCCTGGTAATAAAGAAATACCAAGTTTGACATTGAATAAATGTATTTTTGCATTTTTTTGCATTTTCATTTTTTTTTCTAAATGATTTTCAATTATGAGCACCGAAAGAGAATCACCAAATACATTTTTGGACGCCACTATGTGTCTACTGTATAATGATCAGTGGAGGTCCGTAGATATGGATGGAGATCGGATTTTTAGGGCAGTTGCGAAACTTTGATTTTTGGCTCCAATTTTTACCTAAATTACAACTTAGGCGGGTCTTTGTGGTCATTTTGTAGAACCTGGTTCAATCTGTCGAATAGTATCCTGAGTTTACTAGCAAAACAAAAACAGCTTAATTCATTTAGTAAAGGAGTTTACGTTTGAGACAATCTAATAGGTTACAAAGCTCCTGCTTTCTGCAAACCCAAGTTCATTCGTGCACACGACACCAGTTACTTTCGAAAATTTGTCTTTGCTGATCTATGCAAAAAGGCCTCAGAATCTGCAGTATCAGCAAAATTCAACCAAAAACTTCAAAATGGAGCGTCGAGATTCATGAAACTATTCCTGAAAATGAATTGCAGCGTAAATTGTGATACTTTTGTAGGAGCCTCGTATATGAAAAAGGTCGTGCAAAAAATGCTCTCAGGCGTACAAGCAGTTGAAAAAACCGAGATTATGCTCAAGCATCCTAGTAGAAACAGGTCACTCTAAAAAACCATCTGTATATATGTGTGTGCAAAACTCCCTGAAATTATGTAAAAGAGAGTGAGCGACAATCGGACGTGTTGTTATTTTTTTCGCGATTGTTCACCGTGATCGCTTTGATCACCGAT